GCTGAACCGTAATTGTATGCAGACCCAGATGTTTATTTCTTCCTTTGCGCTTGTTTTCTTGACATTATTTGGGAGGTAGGAAGGGACTTCAATTTGACCACAGAAACTCTAGTTCATGTGACTGTTTTTCCCTTTTAACCTGTGCAGTTAGCCAAAATTTGGTCTTGGGTTGCCTCACTGGAGGAATTGTTGGAGGTAGTTACATGTATGCAAAGTCTTTCTCTCTGGAAACAGGAGGGTTCGGTTACTAGGGGTCACATCCCTGCACTTCCCTTGGGTCAGGTTCCCCTCCCTGCGCATCCCTGACAGCTTGCTGGACGTGTCAGGACCCAAGTCCAGCTCTGCGCAAGGGTTTCCTCCTCCAGGGATGCATCTGCCTACATGTTGCCAGCTGAAACTCTTTGCCCAACTAGTTCAGATCCTAGATCCTATCCGTATACGCTCCCGTTTGGGGTGCACACAAAAATAGATGGGTTTGGGATCTGGAGAGTGCTGTCCTTGCCAACGCCACCTGTGTGGAGGGGCTCACCAAGCACACGCTTCTGTCTTTGACATGGGCATCTCTAGGTTTCCCTCTGCATAGATCTATCAGTGCAGAGAACCCAGATCCCCAGGGGCTCTCCCTGTTGATCACAGCTCCTGTAGGAAAAGCCATCTCGCAGCAGTCGTTCTGGCACAGTGCCTGGCATGGACACTTCAGTCTGGAGTAGAGGGGCCAGGATGGAGACAGGTTTTGGAGGGTCCCTTTGACTCAAGTACTGAGGTTGGGGAGTGTGGGGTGTTGTTTTCTTGGTGTTTATTTTTATTTTTTTCTTTTTTCCCTTTCTTTTTCTTTTTTCCCTTTCTTTTTCTTTTTTCCCTTTCTTTTTCTTCCAGATTTAGGTTATCCCTTCAAATTCTGCCAGGCAGTTTCCTCCCGTAGGTAGAGCCTTATTCATACATCCCGCCAGGCACCAGAGCTAGAGCACTGCCCTGGGTGGGCTTGGTGTTCTGCTTCATCTTGGTTTTGCTCTTTAACTTCCGAGTGCAGGAGAGAGGCAGAACAGATGACTTCATGAAGTGACTGAAAGTGTGTACACTTAAAGACTTTTTTTTTTTTTACTGTATTTGAAAAATATTTTTAATTTTAATAAACACAACCACAGTAATTAAGTAATATCATTCTGAAGATGTAGCCTTCATGTGCATAAACATACTTAATTTTAATCCTTGATAGGTTGCTTTATACAGTGTTATTTCAGCTTTCTTTTATAAATAATGCATTAACTTATTTATTCTCTGCACCAGTTGAGCATTTTTGTTTTCAAGGATTTGACAGAAGGCTATGATATTATTAGAAACCCTACAATCAGACTACAAATTCCTCGGGACAGAGTTATCTTGTTTTGTGGTTTTTTTATGTTATCTGGCATAAAGGAATTTGGACACTTGGGAGCTTTAAAGTTGCTCAGTTTCAAACCTGGTTACCAAGTGCTGCTTTCAGGCAACAGCTTCAGATGAGGAAAAAATTCAACTGGACATATATGAACATGTAGCAAAAAATACAGGCTTTCTGTGGTATCTAGAAACGCCATGCAAAAAAAGATATGGTGAGGATAGCAACATGATTAATCCCAGGAAGTCAATATTGTTTATAACCTTTAAACATAGGTGCACCCAATATCACAGTAGTTACTATCAGAATGACAAGGTTCTCAGGTAATTTCTGGAAGTACCACCGAAAGTGGAGAAAGGAGAAATACCATCTCTCACAAAAGAGGAAAATTTTATAAGTTGTTACTTAAAATACATCACTGCATTTTGTTTGTTCCTACAGACACCATTTTTACCAAACTTCAGCAAATGCAGCAAACAGCGGTGGTGCTGGGGAACCAAGTACAACGATTTTCCTTGTGGGTGGCATCAGTGATCTGCATTTAGGGTAACAGAGAGACCCTGGCACGTTTCCATCAGGGCTTTCATCCCTTGGGTGCCCGCTGGCCTGCCACCCTCCCACGAGGAGGCCAGGCGCCAGCTTGCACCCGCATCTGTTGCAACATCCGAGTTTGCACTTTTGCTTCTCCCACTGCAGACCTGTCAGATGTCTGGCTCCCGACCCAGGCTTTCCCTCCCAATATTTTCCACTCACGTCTATCTTCCCTTTCTCTGACTTTCCAGCCGCTGGGCCAGTCGCAGCGCGACCACGCAGCGGAGGAAAGACCGCCTGCGGCAGCACTCGGAACACATCGGGCTGGACAACGATTTGAGGGAGGTAGGTGGTGTCATCTGCAGGTGTCATCTGCAGGTGGCACAAGCTTGTGATCCAGGAGATGCAATTTAGACAAACGATGTGTTCTTACTTTGGGCAGTTTTGTTGCTACCGTAAGGTTTGTGTGGGTCTCTGCAGCCATTTCATTTAGATGCTGCTTGTCACAGGTGCCTGTATGTGTTGTATAACTTCAAAGCAGAGAACAGAAATAAGATGCTTTTATTATTTGAGAATAAGACAGCCCCTTTGTCATCAGGAAAATGGCTTATTTGCTGATACCGACCCCAGCCGTGTAACTGCAGGCAGAGAGCAGAGCCCTGGTGCCTGCCTGGGTGCAGCTGCCAAGCTCTGACCAGGGTGAAGGTCTCTACAAAAGTCAAGTCCTTGAATAAATGTCAGTACTGTAGAGGCGAATGAGGCAGGACTTCTTTCTTTTTTAAAGGAATTTTTTTTCTCTCTCTCTTACGTAGATTCCTGACATGAGTAAGCCTATTTAAAAGGTTAAGACTTTAGGGCCTTTTTATGCCTAAAGCTTGGAAACTCCCATGCGTCTTGTAAATGTCAGTCACATACACACATTTCTTTCCCATCTTTTCAGTTTCTCATCCTTCCTTAAATATTTTCTGCCATATTTTTCCATTGATGTCCCTGTGCTTCTTTTGTATGTCACTAGCAAAAATAAAACATTCATGCTGTTTTGTGGTAAATCTTGCTGAATAATGTTGGCCAGCGTTGGCATTTGCACTCTGAAAGAACCCGAACGGATGAGTGGCCTCTTGAACCGCAGCTTCGAACGGTGTTTCATGGAAACACAGCAAAACAGCACTTGTATATGTTTGTTGCTATTTTTGCTAAAGTGGCTTTGCAAGTATATCTTAAACATTGCCTCATGTGTATATCTCAGCAGAGCCTTTTCAATACTTTGTCATGTATTTACTTCCTTCTTTTTTTGGCTGTGGATCATATGCATGCTTCTTTTGCTTTGTCTCCTCTTTCTTTCTGGCTATTCTGCCATTGGGGCATCTGCCTCCTCTTAGCCATCGGAGGAGCTTTTGCTTCGTCAGAACTCAATGGCCTTCTGGGAGTGGGATCAGGGACCACCCCCTCCTGCACGGCCTCCTAAAAAATCCTCCTCTGAATGCTGCCTGGTATGTTTTAGTTTTTCTTGTTGAAAGCTGCTTTTGAGATGTTGTTAGCGTGAGGAACTGCTGACTTCACTGCGTCTCAAACCCCTCCCTTTCTCGTAGAGTATGAGCATGTCCCTGTAGCACTTGGAAGTGTGGTTATAATCGGAAAAGTAGCTGGAAATCAGCTCTAGGGTTCCATGCCAGCTCCCTGGCAAACATGACAGCTCCAAGGCTGAAAGATGAGAATTTTGTTTTGCTTCTTTTTTTCCCATGTTGCTCGCCTGGCAATTCAGCTTAGGGTGTCAAATCCAAAAAGTATTGCTTTCTGACTGCTGGATCATTGCATCCCAGTGCGGAAGAGGGTGGTAGTGTGTGGATGCCGATGAACAGGCAAAGGGCAATCAACTGGATCTTTCATCCCACGCTTATTCTTCTCTTGAACTGACAAAAGTTAATAATGTCTTATTTTAGTATAATAGCAAGTTATACAATGAATGAAGTAAGGTTATCCATGTTTTGTACTCTTCAGACTATAACCGCACTTTGCGTTTTATTTATCCCTTTACGATTAAAAAGAAATATTAGATTTCCTAATTATATATTCCCTGTATTACTTTTTCACTGGTTTTATTGCTAATTTTTGCCCTGAGTTAGATGGAAGTCACTTGTGAGATTGCTTGCTGAACAACACGCTTCCATGTTCTGTGATTTTTTTTTTTTTATTCCCACATGTAGCTTTTCAACTATTTGTAAGTCCTTACAGTATCAGTGAACCTGTAATTACCTAGCTCAGCACTTTTGTTGAACACAGCTTTCCATAGCAGAACCTGACATTCTTGTCTGTCCTGTGGGACTGATGTTAAGTGGTTCATGTCTGAATTTTGTATTGAAAAAAACCAAATGTGTCAGAAAAACTGTACTCCCCTGTTACAAAAAAAAAAGTGAGCAATTTCAGTTAACTTCAATGTGTTTGGATTTTGCTCTTGCTAAATAAATTATTTTCTTCCCAGATAGAAAGCAGCCATAGTGTCCTCTCAGTTCCCCAGCAAACCCAGCCAGCAGCAGTGCTAAGGCACTGGAAGAGTGTGATCTGCTCCTCTCGGGGGAAGAGCAGTCATTGGCACATACCATCCACCAAAGAGGCAGCATTAACTGGATAAAAACACACTATGGAAATGGAGCATTCCTACACCAAGCTATGAGTGCTGTGCTTCAAGGCTTTTATTTGGCAATATTCTATTATGTTCCTCTTTTTAACAAAAACTATGAATAATGCTTGGGCAACTTTTTGATAGGCTTCATATTTGCCAACCTAAATGTGGCCAACTTCTTAGCTTTGCTCAGCATGTAGCCCTCTCACTGATGTTGGGGGCAGATGACACTTTGTTGATTGGTTTGGGGTTTTTTGCTTAACAAAAAAAAAACCCTCAACAATAAAAAAAAGCCCTGAACAATAAGGCAGTGCAGCAGGAAAGTTTAAAAGTCTTTTACTATAGCTTGGATCCTTTTTTTAAAGAACACACCAATTTTTGTCCATACTTCTCAATTACCACCACACATTAAAAACATGAATGATCCTAAATGTCAGTTTAGTTTAAAATGAGCTTCACTTGTAATTGAGAAGTTAATTGAGAATAAAATCAAGTCTGATTTTTCCCACGTAAACTATCCAGATGAAAAGTAATGGATTAAATCTTTCACCTAAGAGTATTTCTGCTTCTTGTAATTTATTTTCAAAGGATTTTTTTTCAATTCATATATGGTCTGGTCACAAATTAGACAAATAGCTTTTAAGGTTTGTTGTTTTTTTTTTTTTAAGTGAGAATCAAATAACAATGGAAAGAAACTACTTGGTGTTTTTACTTTATTGCTGAATGAAGGTATCACACTTTTATTCACTCTCTGTGGCTAACTTTGTGCTAGTGGCTAACAGCACAGTTTGCTAGCTAACATTGACTGTTCCGGTTCTACGCAGGAAAATAACTTGCTTTTTTTGTTGTCAAAAGGGAGCATTCCACTTCTCCAGCCCAAGACCTAAGCATCAGACAAGTCATGATGTTGTTCCTAGATTAACACTAGCTCATTCCTTTTCACCAGCATTTGCTTGACTAGGATAGGACAAGGAGAATCCCTCTGCCTTGTAATATCTAAAATTATTCTGTTTATTTTTAGAAATACATGCAGGAGGCAAGGAGTTTAGGAAAAAATTTAAGGCAGCCCAAACTCTCAGATCTTTCTCCAGCTGTGATTGCGCAGACCAACTGGAAATTTGTGGAAGGGTTACTGAAGGAATGTCGCATGAAGGTAGGTCCTCCCCCTTCCCGCTGCCTGCTCTCCTCTTGCTTGCACTGAGCCTAAATAGTGTCTGTAGATGGTGTCCTGAAAGTCCTTCGCAGCTGCAGTGCCGTTGGTCTGTTGGTGTACCAGGCCATTACAGGGTGGATGTCCCTTTAGTGTTAAATTTTTCAATGGCTAGAAAAGAAAGAAACATATTATCACTCTTCTGTTTATGCAGTCAAAGTTGGTGAAATGAGTGAAAAGGACAGGAAGGAGGATCAGCATGATCAGACATCTTAGGGAGGATTTCCTTTAATTTGTCATATGTAAATGTAGCCTAAACATAAGGGGCTCGTGACCCACGGTCAAAAAAGGAAGCGTTCGGCAAGTGTGACTGTTGTGCATGTTGTTTATGCAGTTTCTAATACTAAAGAAGCTTTTATAACCATGGAAATATAATTTCTTTGTGTCTTTGTGTCAGTTGCAGTTGGTGGTATACTGTATTACCTGAGTTTTAAACTTTAAGAGCTGTAACAAGAAGACAAACAGATACTGAGTAAGACCAGAAATGTATCTAGCTCTGTACTCTGTTTTTGATACTGGTGGATAATAGATCAACAGTGTAGGAATAGGACAATAGAAGAAGGGTGTAGAAATAGGACAGTATGGAGTAATAATGCAAACTTTTTTTTTTAATTTATTCTTTTTAATTTACAATCTCTGTAAAGAGATTTGAAGTTTCTTTGGTCAGGCCATTAGCAATGGTCTCTAGATTAAGCATCTTATTCTAAGTAAACTCGGCTACAAATTCTGTCTCTTGTTGGATAACATTCTTAGAAACCTTTGGGGTTTGTTTTTTTTTTTTTTTTTTTTTTTTAAAGACTAAACGCATGTTGGTAGAGAAGATGGGCCATGAAGCAGTTGAACTGGGACATGGAGAAGCCAACATAACAGGTCTGGAGGAAAATACGTTGATTGCTAGTCTCTGTGATCTGCTAGAAAGAATCTGGAGCCATGGTCTGCAGGTCAAGCAGGTTGGTAACTGGAAATGCAGGACTTTGTGTGTACAGTACTCTAGCGAATACTGAATGCCATCTCTACCTTTTAAGTGGCTACTCAGTGGTGTCATTCCAACGTTAAGTGGGAGGTATCTTTGGGATCAGAGTCCCTGGTTTGTATCTTGTGAGGTCTTGGGGGGGTTTTTTGTAGGTTTTGTTTGTGTGTTTGCTTGTTTGTTGGGTTTTTTTTGAGAGGTATCTCTGCAAATTGCAATGATGTTGTCAAATAGGTGTTTGGTTTCTTCTCTTTCAACCTTCAAAAGGGAAACCCAGGGAGAAGACAAAGAAACAAAGTGGGTGGGGTGACTGCTAGGTCATTGGGATGGTCCTCTCCTCTTCCTGAGGTCTCATGGCCCAAGAGAGAAGGATTGACTCTCACCACTGGACTTTTGGCCCACTGAAATGCCATCCCATTATTTTGCCATGTTCAATGGCCTCTTTTCTTTTGCCTCATTTGTTTAAAGCTACATACTACATATTCGATTTTCAGGGGAAATCTGCTTTGTGGTCCCATTTACTTCAGTACCAGGAGAGAGAAGAGAAGCAAGAACATAATGCAGAGTCCCCAGGTGAGTACTCAGCAGTTGAATCCATGAAGGGTCCATCACAGTGAGTGAACTCAAGCCTGGGAGGAACATTGTAACCATACAAAACCCACGCAGGATTTTTGGTCTATTTGCTTGCTAATATCACATTTACATTTTGAGACCTTTCATGATCGTTATGAAGACGCCTTGACGACTGGACAAAATAGACTGATATCGTTGAAGGCAAAGAACAGATTTCTTATCCCTGTCTAGAAAATCACTTGATGCCTGTTCACTACCTTCATTCCCTTTTAATCAGCATTAAGTGAGGTGTGAGCAGCAGTGCTTCCACAAGAGATGATTTCTGAAGTAGCTGAAGGTGTAGAGCTGTGGCTAAGACAGCTGACATTTTTCTTTCAGTGAGCATAATCTGTCTCTCAAATCCCGATGCGAATAACTCCATGTTCAATAAATACTTTTACTGGTGGACCGTACAATTCAGAAGTTGTACAATTAGTCTCTATCCATCAGTTTAGGTGCTCAGTTTCTGCTTTGGTTTGGCCCTTTACAATCACTAAATTACTTCTGTGTTGTGAGAGAGGTTGGTTTTCTCATGACCTTGAGATCTCATTGCCCACAGGCTGCTGCTGGGTACTGTAGTAAAAGTCTCTGAACTTTGGTGGGTCATCTTCCAAGGACTCTGCAATCCTCCACATCCTGCAGATGGGAACTTGTATGATCAGTCCTCAAAGACACATCTATGGACAAACCAAGCTCGGTCATTGTCGTGGTTTAGCCCCAGCCAGCAACTAAGCACCACGCAGCCGCTCGCTCACTCCCCCTACCCCAATGGGATGGGGGAGAGAATCGGAGGAGTAAGAGTGAGAAACACTCCTGGGTTGAGATAAGAACAGTTTAAGAATTGGAAGAAAGTGAAATAGTAATGATAGTAATAACAATATAATAATGATAATAA